GGCCTAAGAAGAAAGGGATAGGGATAGGGAGAGACAGCACAGGAAACCTGGTTTCTGAACCTTGTGCTCTGCAGTAGGCCTTCTTAACTAACTGAAAGAACAAATTGAGGCTACCCTCTGAGGCATCTGATTGGGTTTAAATGAGGGAATGTATTCTTTCACCTATAATCACATACAAAATTGTACCAGTTTTGAGAGTTTGCCCACCCTGTTTTAATCACCTAATCTAAACATTTCTAGAAAATCTGTATAAAGATAAATCTCTCAGGACAAAGTATTTACAACCAGCAAACTCACACATGAAATTGAATTAAATTAAGGGATGAATTAATTGTGTAAACACATAGTGCAGCTCTTCTTCCTGAGCTCCTGGACTCTCTCCTTTCTCTATATCTTATTTTTAAGGACAAGGTAGGGGAGAATTGTAAATATACAGTTAGATAAAAGATGAGAGGCATCTCTCTGGCCTGATTTTGCTCACAAAGGGCACTATTTCCCAAGGGACATCTGAAAGAAGTAGTAGTTTCTGCGACATCTCCTAAAAGCTGGAGGGATGTTAAGGCCCACCAGAAAAGTAATGCTGGCACCCAATCTGGATTAAGGCATTAACCCCTCACCAAATCTCTGGTCCAGAATTCTCTAGAAACACTATATCCTGGCCAGGAGCTCCCCAGATAGGATCAGAAAGGAAGAAAGAGACTGTAAATGGACAGAAAGATTAGCTAAGAATGTGCTTTGGGTAAGAAGCCCCTGCCCAAGGAGGAGCCTGGGCTGCAGAGTCTGCGGCCTCAGTGGGAGGTAGTCAGAGTGTCTGAGGTAGAAGACCCCGGGGAAGGAACGCAGGGCGACGAGCTGGACTTCTCTGAGGATTCCTCTGCCTTCTCGTCGTTTCCTGGCGGGGTGGCCGGAGAAATGGGCAAGAGCCCCTCCTTCTCACGTTTCTTTTGCTTCATTCTGCGGTTCTGGAACCAGATCTTCACCTGGGTCTCATTGAGCTGCAGGGATGCGGCGATCTCCACCCTGCGGGCACGCGTCAGATACTTGTTGAAGTGGAACTCCTTCTCCAGCTCCGTGAGCTGCTTGGTGGTGAAGTTGGTGCGCACCGCGTTGGGTTGACCCACGTAGCCGTACTCTCCAACTTTCCCTGAGTCAGGGTGGGAAGCATGAGATGAAAAGGTAAAACATTTAAAATGGGTATGAGATCCCCTACTCGCTTCAGAGCAACATTCGGGTGAAGGGGAGACTAAGAACTTCGCAACACAAACCGGGCTGGGGAGGGTGAGTGATGAGGTGTAAAGTGTTAACCTGAAGTCAACCATTAGCGTGGTCAGAGCGGTGATTAATGGAGCCCGGAGGTATTAACAGAACATCACCTCCACCACCACCCCACACACTTCCTACCACCTAAACACTTAAAATCCTTCGAAAATATACGCGCCCCTGAGGCTCCTTTGCCCCCGGCACACCTGGGCACCCTCCCCGCGCGTGCCCTACAAGATTATTCCGAAACAAGAATCTAATTTTTAAAAAATCATTATTAATTTTTCTTGGAAACTAAGCATACCAGCTCCTTCCAGATTCCTCAAGGAGCATCCACTGGCCTGCAAGACTAACCTGTTTTGGGAGGGTTTCTTTTGACTTTCATCCAGTCAAAGGTCTGCGCTGGAGAAGTCTCCGACGCAGGAGAGCGACAGGCTTCTTGGTGGCTGGCGTGGAGAGGGGACAAGGAGTTATTATACGTGGCCAGGGCCAGGCTCTGATGCTCTTGTCCATATGAGTGGTGCATGTACTGAGGCGAGCCCACCGTGCCCCCGGCATAACCCTGGTGGTGGTGGTGATGCTGGACCATGGGAGATGAGAGGTTTCCAGAGTAAACAGCGGGAGTGCACGAGGGGTACCCACCACTTACGTCTGCTTCCTGATTTAACGCGTAGGGACTGTAAGGCGCACTGAAGTTCTGCGCACCGTAGCTTGGACCACAACTCGAGTGGGAGTAGGACACCCCCAGGTTCCCAGAAGTCTGATAGGTGGCCGGCTGGGGGTGGTGATGGTGGTGGTGGTGGTGGTGGTGGTGAGGCGAATTGATCTGCACCCCCCTGCCCACTAGGAAGCGGTCGTCGCCGCCGCAACTGTTGGCACTGACCGCGCACGACTGGAAAGTTGTAATCCCATGGTCCGAGGGGTAGGCTCGCGCGGAGCAGGTCCCGGATTCGCCACTGCTGAGGATGGGGTATTCCAGGAAGGAGCTCATTCTTGCATTGTCCATCTGTCACTGAGTGACCGGGTCCTGCGAAGCCCTGAGTGACCGTGCCAACTTTCTCACTTCCTCCATGGGGCCGGAGAAGAAAAATGATATGAATGTACAGTGCGCAAGAGGGGGGGCAGGAGGGCGGAGGGCGCTCAGGGAGGGGCACGTGACTTTGTCAGCCAATGGCTGGGCCTCCTGCGAAAGTTTGCCGGCTCAGGCGGTGATGGATCACCATTTCAGTGGCATTTAAATCCCCGGCGCTTCTCCGTCTAGGTGACGCGCAGTCGCCCCCCCAGGCAGCCCAGGAGGCGGCAGCAGCTGCGGCGGCTGCCACGGCAGATTCGGTGCTGGGGCGAAGGAGAGCGGAGGCTGCCTTCTGCGCGCGCCCGACTCTGCTCGCCCCCCCCACCCCCCTTGCCCCGGGAGGTGGGGGCTGGGAGGTATCCTCCGCCCCGCCCCTGCCCCACCGCCGTGCGCAGAAAGATGAACTGCCAGAGGTGAGAAGGGAAGAGGGTTCCCGGCTGTCTCCGGGAGGGAATCAGTGGGCCAGAGCCCGCTGGGTGGCCGCGAGTCCACCGGCCCAGCCCGGAGCGCGCCGAGCAGGAAGGGTGGGAACTCGGCCGACACCGCGCCCAGGCTCGCGGGTCGTTTCCGCTGCCGAGAGGCCCAACCGTGAGGCCCGGGGCTGCGATGAGCGCAGAGAAACGTGGCGGAGGGCGAGGCTGGGCAACCGGCTCCGCAGCTCGGAACAGAAAGGGAAGAGCTCCGAGAGCTGGCTGGGAGGAACCCGCCTGGGCGTGGAGGACAACAGGGCAAGAAACGAAACTTCCCTCCTCCTAGGAGGGTCTCCAAACCCTCTCCCCACAAACCCGCTGCCATTAGCATGGCAATGAGGCACTTCTGTAATTCGACTCCAGGGGCGGGGGAAGCCCTTGAAACACTGCTTGTCGGAAAAGGCCGGGGGTGGCCGGGCTCCTCTCCCCCCCCCTCCTCGCTCTCCGCCCCTTTCTCCTCCCCACTCTGCCTGCACCGGGAGTCCTCCGGGATCCGGAGCCACTCGGCCGCCGGATTTTGAGGAGTAGAAGGCGCGGGGGGGCGGGGGGGAGATGACGCTAGCGGACGTGGCCAGCGTGGGGGCCGGGCCGTGCGCTGCAGGCCATCTGCCGGCTCCCCAAGACCCAGGATCCTGCGCGCTCCCGCACAGGCCTTAGAGGGTCGGACCGCAGCTCCAACAAAGTACACACGCTGAACTCCCCCCGCCGCGCTTCTCTTTTTCTGGAGGGAGATGTTAGGAGTGGAAGAGCCTCCTCTTACCAACCCCCTCATTCTACGGCACGTCTGGAGTGGGGGTGGGGACTCTGGCAGGTGGGAGGGGCAGTGGACAGATGGCTGATGGTGGACGGAACACTTTTCTCTTCCCCAACGACACCTCCTCCCCTTTCCAACTGACTGTGCGGTTGCTTGTGTGAACCTTCAAATCTTTCCCTAGAGAGACACGTGCAAATCTGAGCGTCATCTCAGGCCAGGGGTCCTGTTCTCCATCACCCTCCTTCTACCCTGATGCTGATGGGGTCGGTTAATTGTTTAGTATTAGGTTTCGAGTCAACCCTGGGCTTGTAAAGAGAAAAGGCCAGAGACCAAGAATTAATGCAGTTCTAGGTAAGAGAAATGCAGAGATCATCCAAGAAGCTTTGCTGCCAACCCTGTATAAATTTTACTCCAACCATGTGTACAATATTGGGATCAAATGAAATGTTTAGTGCCTTCCCTCTCCTGTAAGAAGGAAGTTTTGCTCCAGGCAGGCAAATTTCAAATGAGCTAGTCACCCTTTCAGTCTTCTGTTTTTTGTTCTTCACATTTAGAAGTTCCCACCCAAACTTGTCCCTCGAGGGGGAAAACCCATGCAGACCTTTGACTCTGGATTCCCTCAGTAGCAGTGGAACATTTTCCCCAGACATTTCCTATTGGAATGGTATTTCTTTGTGACCTCTGACCTATACCCCAAGCATGGTTAACAGGATCACCCCGTCCCAATTTCAGCTCCTGGGAATTCTCATCCTGGAAAAGGGAAAAGGCAAGGTGGCCCTCCTGGAGGCGGCTTCCCTGGGTGCCCAGGCCCCCAGCGACGCGGGG